TTTTTTTTTTTGATTATGGCACTATTACAATAGTAGGCTATGAAAGAACAATCAATATATTGATATCTTTGTGCAGGTTTGGGTTATTGGTACAGAATAAAAAAATTGGGGCGAATTTTTTTTTTGTAGTCACACGATTACAATACAGAAAACTTATATTGAAAAATTTGAAGAAATTGTTTTGATTGTGATAAAGAAAAAATATTTATGCATTGGCATAAAATTTGCACCAAATTTGGGAAAATGGTCAATCGTGTGTGCGGTCATTTCTGCATACTTAACTCAATATTTTTTTTTAGATCATGACACTCTTACAGTAGTAGGCTATGAAAGAAAAATCAATATATTGGTACCTTGTACAGATTTGTACGTTACTTATTTTGGGTTATTGGTACAAAGTAAAAAAATTGGGAAGACAATTTTTTTTGTAGTCACACGATTACAATAAAGAAAACTTCTACTGCAAATTCGAACAAATTGTTTTGATTGCACTGACAAAAAAATTACGCAAAAATTGGTTAGTATGTATTACCAAATTCAATTTTTAAAAAGGAATCAATATAATTTTTGGTTGATGTTTTCAACAATGATTTGGTAAATATTAACCACATTTTTGTTTGCATTAAGCAAATTTTTGGGTGCCGATTTTTTAGTTTGAGTACGCTTATGTTCTGCACTCCACAGATGCTTTTTCATAATTTGGAGATACAAAACAAAAATTTGTATTACCATTTTAACACGTTGGCCTCTGACGGGATTCGAACCCACATCTTCTGAAAGCAAATACCAGCAAGCATCTCTGCACATTCAGCCACAGCCGTTCTGCAAATTTTGCCTCATACTTGAATAAATTTTCTAGGTCGTTTGATCGTGTTCTGCACTTCACAGTTGCTTTTTCGTAAATAAGAAAAACAAAACAAAAAACACTACACTGCTTCTGGCGGCATTCGAACCAGAATCCGCTGGAAGCCAACAAATAACAGCAAGCATCTCTGGATGTTTAGCTACAGCCAGACATAAAAATATGTTTTCAAATCATCAACTGGTCTCACACTCCTTACAATCGGCTTCTTCTTTACAGCATCTAGGCCTAACGGCAGTATTACGTATAAATTGCATACGATTCCATACCGCCAAAAGCAAATTTAAATCGTGTATAAAAACAGCTATGAGCTTTAAAGCGGCGCAAATGTTGACCACGTCGTAATTGGTCAAAAATTTGAATTTTTTTTATAAATCAATAACATATTTTTAATTTAATTTTTTTTTTAATACGACATTTGCAAAATATTGCCTATTGGCATCAGTAATCAGTTTTTTTGCTCTCCTGAAAAGTTATTAAAAAACACATAACTGTTTTTGTTGGCGCAGCGACGATATGTAGTTGCTTTTGTATATATTAAGTTGCTTCAAAAAAATATAAAAAAAAATTGCACCGGGGACATCGTGTCAGGGTCAAAAGTTCGTTAAATTTATTAAAAAGTATCCATGAAAAATATATTACAATCGTTGAAGATTAAAATAAAACCACACCTGTAAGTGGAAAATCGAAATGGCATTTGCAACTTTGTAAAAATTTACAATTTTTCATGGAATTGTTCATGGGTAGGGATGCAAACGATGCATCGATATTTTTGAAACATCGATAATATTGGTTCAAAACTCGATATTTGCCATCGATGTTTCCTATTTCTTAAAACCGCTAGATTGGCGATACATCGCTGTCAGTTTCAGAGATGTTCTAACACCGGCTTTAGCTTGATCCAGTCTTGTTTTGACTTCAACTTAAGCTCGCTATACAGTTCAATGCGAGTGTTAACGTGAACATTTTTATTTTGACTAATAGCTTCGCTTTTACTTCACGTTTTGCAATAGTAAATATATCAAAATATGGAGAATTAAAATATCTTTCAGAATTATAGAATTCAAAATAATTTAAAATGTATAATAGCCATATTTTACAATCAAACACTCAGCTGTGTGCATACGCAAAGCATTCGCATGTGAACGATAAACGTGTGTGAGCGAACTCCAGTTAGAATGTCACAAAATTAGGTCTTGGAACTTTAGGCGCAGCGAACTTACGGCGGTAAGCATTTTTATTATGTTTGTAATAAGGATAAAGGAAGGCTAATTCAATACAGGGGAATTCAACCAAATGTTAGTATTCATCTAATTAAATTACAGAGACTAAAAAGTATAAAAATCTCTAAATGTGAATAGAACCTAACAAATTGTGAAACATCGGATATTATCGATATATCGATGTTTTTCTGGGGATGAATTTTAGCATCGATGTTCATTTCTCCGATGCATCGAAACATCGATGTATCGATGTTACTCCTCAAAATTTGCATCCCTCTTCATGGGTACTTTCCAATATATTTAGCAAACTTCTGATCCTATTACGGGGCAATTTTTGTTTTTTTTTTCGAAGCAGTATATTAATGTATGAAAGTTGTTAAAGCAATTCTTAAGAAAGATTCAAATTTCTGAAAAATNATATTTAGCAAACTTCTGATCCTATTACGGGGCAATTTTTGTTTTTTTTTCGAAGCAGTATATTAATGTATGAAAGTTGTTAAAGCAATTCTTAAGAAAGATTCAAATTTCTGAAAAAGGGCTTCATAGATGGTTTTGATTCTGGCTCGGAATATCTTCTAATTTATCCTAGAGTACAATCTTGAAAGAATTTCGTGGTTGTTTCAAATTTCGATAATATCTTGTTTTCCGTGTTTTACTAGCAAATGCTCGCTTGCATCGCGGCGTCTGGTCCACCTATCGTAAAGAAAAATATCTTATAGTATATTACACCAGATAAAACGCTATCTACGTACCAAATTTCAAGTAAATGCCCTATACATTAACCCAATACATTAACCCAATTATCGGCAAATGAGATAGGCCGCTTTAGAACCTTTTGCTAAGATAAGGCGTTTTCAACCATTTTCTGAGATAGAATGATCTTCCATTCAGCCGTCGATATGCAGTGAAAAACTTACTACACGGTATGTTTTTTGCAGTATGCCCTCGGTACGTCAAACCAATTCTGCACGTTTTACATAGCGTGTTCTTAAGAATGATTTAATTAAAGTGATATACATAGGTATGTCGATCAGAAGCAGCTAAGATATGCCAAGAAATTTATAACAGAAAGTAAACAATTGAGAAATACATTGAAATCAAATAAGCAAACGCTTCCACTCAGAGACAATGCGCAACAAATGAATATAAAAATGCAACATTTACATAGCAACTGCACAGATAAGCAATGGAGACAAGAAAAATACCAGTAAGAGTTCGCTTTGAAAAAGGTCCAAATTACGCCACACAACAATCTTCCACCAAAGTACAATTTTCGAAAGTAAATAAATACCAGTGGCGAACACTTACTCGCTCGGTCAACTGAATGCGAAAAAAGTTTGCACTAAAAAAAGAGATTCAGTGTGGCGAGAGAAAAAGTTTGATTAGCCATGTGAACAAAAAAAAAGCTCTGCGGGTGGCCAAAAGAAAGAAGAAAGCATGAGAGCAAAGCGATTTATTGACACCCGCACGAGCTTTGCTACGTAAAGCAGCTTCAGCAACTCGCGACACGACAAAAGCTCCGAAGATATTGCCACAATGCGAATGTTGCTATTGCTTGTGCTGCGTTGTTATTGCTGCTGCCGCTGCTCCTGCTTCGACCCCCTGTGGCTAGTGTCGTCAAAGTGGCTGTCGCGTGCATGCAACACAACAACAAAAATAAAAACCGTAATTTGGCAAAAGCTCGGCAGGCAGCCCACTCTTGTTGCTGCCATCAAATAACAAACGAAAGTTTGTGGGAAAGCGCAAAACAAAGAGAGAGCAGCGAAGGACAGACAGACGCTTGGGCGGAAGATACAAGAATTCACAGCAAGTTGGCAAAAAAATTTTCCCGCTGATTTCAGTTATCAACAAAGCGAGCAACAGTAAGGCAATAACAAGAAAACAACGGGAAGCAAAGCGCCAGTAAGCTACGCGCATCGAAACGTGAAAAAGTGAATGCGAGTACGTCGAAATTGCGTTGCGTGTTGCCGATGGTTTTATGAGTGGCGGATTTATTTTTGCGAAAAACGGTTTGGTGTAATTAGATAAAATTCAACTAATCATGCAAAAGTATTTGAAATTATTAATAAGTGCAAAGGAAATCGATCAGTTTTCTTTTCTTTTTTGTTCAAAAGCGAAAGTTGCAAGTAAATTATGAATGGTGTTGGTAGATTTATTAAAAAAAGATAAAAGTTATTTAAAAAATGTGATGAAACAAATTTTTAATTTGATGAAACTTCGCGGAATATATCTTGCCAGAAGCTGGATCAACTGTCTAAGGAAAAATATCTACATTTTTTTGTGTTGCATAGAACATTAACAATTCTCGACAAAAATCATAATTACAACAAGTATTTAGATAATAGATGCCTTTAATATTGTCATTAGCGCTTATTGGTCTAAGCTGCAAGATCTTAAGACACTGTGCGTCACTTTTAATACTGTAAAATTATAAAAGATCAAAGCTTTTACCTTTTTAGAAGCAGGATTTTTCTAACACAATTTAACATTTTGCTGTATTTTTGCGTTAGTAACAGTCATTCACTGCATTAAATATTAAACAAAAAAACAATAGTTATAGATTACTTTGAATAAACTGTTCGAGTCCCTTAAAAATCCGCTAGATATGTACGCTTAAAAATGTAATTTGAGTTTTTTTTTATTAAAACTAGTTTTTGTTATTGCGAGGTTCAAACGTATATGACCTAAGTGCATACATGTGTATTTACATACATACATATATTATATTTACACTCTTATTAAGATGCATTCAATTAAAGAAGCTGCCTAACATATGCTCTTGCCTGCATCGGAGATGATTTGCTTTTGTCCCATTCTGAAGAATGAGCTTACTTTGAAGAGAAGTTGCTTAAAATCACAAACTACTTTGTACGAGTATTGTTTAATTTTACGACACCTCTTTACTACGAAGTTAGAAAAGTGCAAATATAGGCCAAGTAGACAGCAGGTCCACTGAAAGATCAGCATCTAATTGCAATTGCTATGAACGAAAACTTTATCCAAATGGTGGTGTTAATTCCACCACAAGCCAGATTGTGAAAAGTTTCGAGCATTCGTGCTTAAAGAAAAACTAAAACAAAATGCCAACAATATAGAAGCACATCTGCAAAAAAACTGGCTCTAACAGCTTAAATATTTGTTTCTACGTTTTTAAATATGAAATTATGTTTTTAAAGAAAGTTTAGCTTTATGTTGCCCTATGTCACTTTCGTGGAGCAATTGAGCTCAAATTTCAAATACCAGAAATGGATGATAATTCAAGCAAATAAACCAAGCACCATGTCCTGTCCAAAACAGCAAAATAATGCCCCTGCTTATATACAATACAAGATTTGTAAAATGCAACCAAATCATAATTTCTTAATAGTGCCCGTACTATTTACCGGTTAAAAGTTTTATGGAAAATGTGCGAGGATGCTTATTTTGGAAATTTTTCGCGTCAGTGCATCTATATTATGATCGACAGCCTGCTCGCGAGGCGATAAATCTCGAGGCTCTTATATCTATATAGTCGAGTGCTTAGAGGTTCATTCGGCAAGATCCAGGTTTGAGCTGTGGTCCGAGCAACATCCAAAAAGTTTTTCTGGTAGTGGCCGCTTAATTGTGAATGCATACCTTCCTACCTTAATATCNGCATTCGTGCTTAAAGAAAAACTAAAACAAAATGCCAACAATATAGAAGCACATCTGCAAAAAAACTGGCTCTAACAGCTTAAATATTTGTTTCTACGTTTTTAAATATGAAATTATGTTTTTAAAGAAAGTTTAGCTTTATGTTGCCCTATGTCACTTTCGTGGAGCAATTGAGCTCAAATTTCAAATACCAGAAATGGATGATAATTCAAGCAAATAAACCAAGCACCATGTCCTGTCCAAAACAGCAAAATAATGCCCCTGCTTATATACAATACAAGATTTGTAAAATGCAACCAAATCATAATTTCTTAATAGTGCCCGTACTATTTACCGGTTAAAAGTTTTATGGAAAATGTGCGAGGATGCTTATTTTGCAAATTTTTCGCGTCAGTGCATCTATATTATGATCGACAGCCTGCTCGCGAGGCGATAAATCTCGAGGCTCTTATATCTATATAGTCGAGTGCTTAGAGGTTCATTCGGCAAGATCCAGGTTTGAGCTGTGGTCCGAGCAACATCCAAAAAGTTTTTCTGGTAGTGGCCGCTTAATTGTGAATGCATACAAATGTATGTATGTATTTACGTCATAAGTTCGTTACTCTTTAATTCAATGCATTGATTTTTTATATTTTCTTATTTATATTAGGATTTAGTATTAGAAAAAGTTGTTCTCTAGGAACTCATGTGATTTGGTTTTGATACCCAAAGTATCACTCTTCAGTATTTTTCGATATTTTCTTTACAATGAAATTTTTAATATTCAATACTTTTAGCTTATTAAAAACACAAACTGAATAGTAAAAATAAAAAAGCTATATTTCTTTAACAAGGAGAAACAGTAATAATAGCTCTACTTTGCCCAAAGAATTACTAATTTTACCAAAACTTGACCAACTCCAGGCTCCAATAAAATTGTTGCTAAAATCGATATACTTAATAAAAAACCAGTCTAAAATAAAACCAAAGCTTAACTCTAAAAATACAAAGCAAATTAAAAAAATGTTGTTGAACAAAAAGTATTTTTGAAACAACAACGATCAAAAACAGCAGCACGCTTACAGCAGCCATCAAAAGGAGTTGCAAACACTAATAAAAAAAAAAAATACAAACTACAGCACCTACCTACGCTGCTATAATTCAACAAACGTCAGCCGCCAATTTTCGTGAAAATTTCGGGTATGTTTTTCGTCTTATTACCATTTCATCAGTTCTGTTTCAAAAAGTTTGTCAGAAGGGAAAAAAACTTAATTTCCAACCGAACAATTTGAGTGCTTCCGTTACAGCAGCTGGTGCTATCATCCACTGCTGTCGTGGTTATGCTTCAAAAAATATACATAAGAAGTACATCGTGTATTTATGTACATATGTACACGTAAAGACAGGCAATGATGTGTACATATGTACATTAGAACGCGTCGGTTCCCAATCGATAGAAAAAACTTTACAATTACCCTCCCTAGTTGGATAGCTTATTTTGAGAGGATTTTAGAGTCATTAAAATTTTCCTCCTTGGCGTATCTCAAAAATAGCCAGAAACTTTACTTTTCATAAAATTACACACTTTAGTAAGCGATTCATTTTTTTTCCTTAGAAGCGTAGAAATAAATTAATTAACAGAAAAGTTACAGTGGCTTGGAGTTTGTCTTTCAACCGAAGTAAAGACTTGATGCTCATAGGTAACTCATACGCCATGGCAAGCGAGCAATTTAGGATGGCAGGCAAGTTATCAAGCAGGAATCGAGATCGGTGTGGACGTTTGTTATTTTATTTAAGTGCATTATTACAAAAGTCGTATATGAAAACTCAACGATAAAAGGCATGCACTTGATAAGTGCCTTCTAGCTTGTCTGTCTAAGTTTTTCGCAAGTCATGGTGTATGAGTTGCATACATCTGTATCTATCAATATCACCATATAGTCACTGTAACTTATGTTTATTCATTTATTTTACTGCTTCTGAGAAGAACATACATCGCTCACTACAGTGTATAATTCCATGAAGAGTAAAATTATATTTAATGAGGTGGAAATTGAGTTGTTTGAACCTCGTAGATTAAGGAGGCTTTCCAGGGTAAAAGCATCTAACATACAATACTCAAAATTATCTTTTCATCGATATAAACACTTTGGAATGCAGTAATAAATAATATACTTATGAAGAAAACTAGATTTTTGCTGTTTTAAGGCACGAAAATTTGTATGACTTTAAAATCCTCTTAAAGTAAGCTTTTTACACTAGGCGCGGTAGTTGCGACCCTATTTTCGCGAAGCAGCACTGCGGTGTTTTGGCGGAAAATAATATACAATTTTTTGAATATTCAATTTTTATATTTGAGTGGTTTAGCACAATAAAGTGATATTTGCATAGCCAAAATCTATTTTAGTTTTGTAGGAAATTTTAAGTTTTATACAGGATAAAAGCAACAAAAGTCAACTAAAACTGATTGAGATTTTCGTTCACTTAAGCAATGTGTTTTTCTTATAACTTTTATTTGTACTGTTTTTGTTGTAGGTTCATATGAAAATATAGCATTTACTACACAAACAAGAGAAAAAAGCAGGGCAATCGAAAAAATAGTATATTAAATATATATTAGTAGACAAAAATGGCACTTTATAAATGCTAACTTTGACAATTTTGATGGATACAACCTGTGATTTTGAAAAAAAGAAATTGCTCAATTTCCGACCTTCAAAGTAACCTAATATAGTAATGATGGCATTTATGGTATTTTTAAGACGTTTTTGAAGTTAGGTTTGCACGGGTGGTATGCTTGAAAATAAACCGATTGCTCCCGTTTTTTGGATGTTTAGTTATAATATTATTACTAACATATGGCCAACATTTCGGAAAGATATGTTCGTCAGTTGCTTTTTAAGGTATTTTTGAGGCGTTTTTGAGGTTCGGTTAGTATTAGGTATGCTTTAAAATAAATCGATTACGCCCAATTTTTGAGAGTTCTCACATAACGTTATTAAAAATATATGGACAAAATTTCGTAGTTAAAAATTCATTCATGTGCTTTTTAGGGCATTTTAAGGCGTTTTTGAGGTTCGGTTAGTATTAGGTATGCTTTAAAATAAATTGATTACGTAAATTTTTTTGGACTTCATATATAACGTTATTACCAACATATGGACAAAATTTCGGAATCATATATTCATCGGCGCACTTTTTATGACATTTTTAAGACGTTTTTGAGGCTAGGTTTATATGCGAGGTACACTTTAAAATAAATTGGTCACGCCAATTGTTCGTTATTTTCTTGATTTATGTCCATAAATTTTACACACGGAAAACTCGAGTGCTACACCGGTTCCTTCTAATTTTTTCGAAAAAATGTATGGCACTGTACCACTGTGTGCAGCCTAATTTACTTTGCGAGATGCCGACAATTTAAGTGGGAGTTACAATTTTTGTTGTTTCTATAAATTTTATATTTTCAGCAGTTAATGTTTAAGCTAGACTCGCAGGACATATGCAACAAAAAATTGGATTGACACCAATCGAATAAAACCATTTTGTCTATTTTAATCTATCATACCTACATATTTATGTACATACATCGTTTTCCAAAAAATTAGCCTACATTTACTTACGTGCTGAAAAGTAATAGCTAACAAAGTCGATTATACCGTACTCGACTAAGAAAACTATATAAGTACAATATTTACGTGAATCTTATTTCCGACACAAGCATATTATTTATTTCATTATCATTACATAAATATCCCCAATCAGCAAAATATAGCACCCTTCGAAAAAAAACGCTTTGAGGAAGGATTTTTTTCAATAAAATCTTTTCTTTATAAGCTGCATTTAAAGATCTTTCAAAAGCTCTATCGATGGCAGAAAAAGGCTGTGTCACCAAATCAATGGAATTCAAATTAAGGAAACAATCGCAGAGGCGTGTTTGTGCATGTCGAAGCAAAGTTAAATAGAAACTATGTCATCATAATTAAGTATGAATTTTCCACTTTTTGGGAAACTGAATTAGAATACCTTGAAACTCTGAAATAAGGTCGCTATCTTCCCTAACAGAACAAACCGGGTAAATACCTGAGTAAATACCATTATTTTATATGTGTGTGGCTTTACCTGGTGTGCTTTTTTAAGAGCTCCTGTACATTTAGGTGGACGTGTGAGTTTCTGCACTCTTCTAACATTGTGTATTGGAAATTTTCGAAGTAATGCTCTTGAAGAGCATTTCGTTGCAGCCGCGGTGAAGCGGAGTTAGCAAGCTTTATTTCGTATCAAACTTGACAACGGATGACGGAGATTCGTTCCGAGATTAATCAAATTAAAAATAAATCAAATGGAGTTAGCAGTTTTTACATATCTTTAATGAACATCTGTTGCAATTGATTCGTTAGAAAATATAAGAAATTAAGATTAATAATGGAGACTAGTAGACGTCGTCTTTTTCCCTAAAGTTTGCAGGGACGACTATGCTAACACTAAAGCCTCAGGCTAATTAGCATGTCCTTCCTATTGAAATGTCAGGAGTGATTGGTTGAATTCTGCATTATTAATCTTTGCATCAACGTGACTATCAGGTTGGGAAATTTTGTGAGACGGCTAAGCAATAGAGTTGTCAAACTATCGATGGCACTATCGATAGTATCGATAGTTTAAATTTTTTTAGACTATCAATAATCATTGATAGTTTTTCTTATACCATCAAAAATATCGATAGTTTGGTACCAATTATTTTGAAATTATTTGAATTTTTTAATTTGAATTAAAATCTTTGTTTTTTAGTGTGTGTATGCGCGCATTTAGGCCAAAATACATACATATGTTAATCGTAAATCCTTTTTTATTTGTATAACTTGTGTTTGTTTTTGAACTTTCTAAAAAGAGGGGTATTTTGGCTAAGCATTTACTTAATTTTGAATGATTATAACTTTTATAAGATAATATTTATTTCACTATGATCCTGTAAAAACAAAGCAACCGAACTGATTTAGCGCTATCGATAGTGCTATCGATTGTTTTTTTTCGAGACTATCGTGAATATTGATAGTTTTTCTGAAAACTATCGAAACTATCGATGGTGTGACTACCGATAGTTTGACACCTCTACTAAGCAAAACCTGGCTGCCAGAACTAGCAATACCATCACTGAGAAATTAATCGATGAGGGTGCTTTTCACAATGATACCTTCGATAGCTTGTGCAACTCGGCTCTAATTCATGGAGTGGAATTTATGCTCTAATTTCTAATTAGAGACCCTTCTCCGAATAACACTGAATATGACTGACACTTGGTGTAGTGAGAGTGGGCTGTCTGCTAACCCACCCAAAATTAGTGTTGCGCTCTTCACTAGAAGGAAAGGGTTGGACGGCCCTGTTCCCTGCCTTTAAATGAGTCACTATTAAAATTTCTTCCGAAGCAAAGTATTTAGGTGTAATCTTGAATATTAAACATTTTAAGAAGTTTCACATTGAACAAAATACCTCCAAAGCGTTTAACAGCATCATGGCAATGTAAACAGGTCTTTGGTAAAACGTGAGGTCTATCAGCCAGAAGAATTCCGTGGATTTACACCTTTACGATAAAACTAGGGATGGCAGCGATTAATCATTTGATTAAATTATTCGATTAGTTTTGTCAATTTTCGATTTAATTGTATCGTAGTTTTGTGTTTCATTAATTGATTTATTGTAAAATAATCATAAAAATATTTTCAAGATATATGAGTTCTGTAGTTGTCTAAAATCCATCCATCGAACATTCTTTTTGTGCTAGCTGCATCAAATTTACACGACCTGAGGTTCATTTCGAAGATCCGTTAGCATTGTATTATAGAAGTTCATGAGAAATGAAATAATGAGCGCTGATGATCTTATGGAAACGTCTTTGGGTCCCTCATAAATCTCTTGTACACAAACGAAGGCGAAAAGATGATTTGGGTCACCCACAAGATGAAATGAGTTTTTATTCAAATTGTCAAATCCTAGAACTAAAGCGGCATATCATCGATGCTAGGGACTTTTCGAAAAAATATTGTCATTTACTTGGTACCTCGGTGCCTACTGAGCGCCTTTTTTCAAAAGCTGGTGCTAAAGCCACCAAGATACGCAACCGCTTAACAACAAAACGCTTATCAACAAATGCTCTTGTTTTTGCAAACTTGGTAAATAATAAATAACTAAGGCTAATTGACAAGAGA